CGGACGCCTCACAAGTAGGCCCAGCTCCCTCAGGCTCAGCACCTCCAGTCGTAGCACCCCCAGGCTAAGCACCCCCAGGCGTAGTACCCCCAGGCTCAGCACCCCCAGGCGAAGCACCCCCAGGCTCAGCACCCCCAGGCCCAGCACCCCTAGTCTCTTCACCTGCCTCCCTGACTCCCTTCGCGTAGTCAGGGACCACTTCCTCTCAGTCTGTCCCACCACTCTCACAGTTGACCTCCTCGAGAAGGCCCCTCTTAGCAGCGGAGAAGATCATAGTCGTTGTAGGAGCCTCTTGTGGTGACCCGCGCACCCCCATCTTTGAGGGGTGTTCCCCCTCCCCCCTTTTGCCCTCTGTTGCCTCTTCTGCTGCGGCCGACCTCGTTGGGCTTGAGTCGGTCGGTGCGGCGTCTACCCCTAGCAGGAGACGCCGCCCTGGCAAGGGCAAGGGGGGCAGGGGCGCTGGAGGAGCTAGCGGGGGCGGTGGAGGCTGCGGTGGAGGGGCGGAGGAGGCGGGGGTGGCGGCGGTGGATGAGGCGGTGGCGGAGGAGGTGGAGCTGGTCGGGGTGGCGCTGCGCAGAGGGTCGGCTCCGATGGTGGTCAGCGCCAGCAGCAGCAGCAGCGCACTCGTGACATCCCCCCCCCCTCAGCAGCTCCGTGAGTGGTACACTGCACGCCAGCGGGGTGGGGGTAGTGGTCCGTGCACCTACGTCCTACGCACCGGCGACCGCACGGGTGAGCAGTGTGGGGGTGCGCACCCCACCTAGCGCTGCTTTGGCCGCCTGACGGACGCTTGGCGTCACCAGTTTCCGGAGGCCACGGAGATCCCCCGCTAGGGTGAGCTGTCTAGGGCGGGAGTAGCTATCTTTGATCTTGACTTTGATGCTATTCTTGCTGCCATGTATGCTGTGACTATTAGTGATGAGAGTGACTGTTACCGGTGTTTCCCGCTCGACCCAGGCATTGAGACTGCTGCTCTAGGTACTGTTGAGGCTGCTGCTCTAGGTGCTAGCGAGGCTGCTGCTCTAGTGTGCCTTTGGCACGGACGTCCTTGAGGACTGGCAGGAGGAGTTCCAGTGTCTGGCTACTGCTTCACCTCATCTCGTGTCCGTACTGCTTACCCCTGAGGGAGACCCGGGTGCACTTGACATCCCGACTCCGCGCTCTTATGCGGAGGCGATAGAGGGTCCCTACTCCTCTCAGTGGCAGGCAGCTATGGACGCAGAGATGGCTTCCTGGAAGTCCACATGCACCTACGTTGACGAGGTTCCCCCACTTGGGGCGGAGTCGGGAGCACTAGGGGGGGGTTCTTGGCGCAGAACTCAGCAGGAAGCGCAGCGCGGTAGCGAGTGTCACTAGTGCGGAGGTGCGTAATGAGGTCAGCGACTGTGGGAAAGGCAGCAAGGCCAGGAAAGAGGTACGGTAGCATGAGGCGGCTCAGTGCCAGTGGGAGGGGTGGAGCAGCGTGCAACTACAGCGTCGTACAAGGTCTGAGCACTCTTGTACTGACTAAAGTGCGCACGCTCAGAGGTAGGCAGGTGGCGACGCACAGCAAGACGTGCAGCAGCATCGCGCGTGGCCCACTGTGAGCGAACAGTGGCGTCAGCATCAGCAGCAGGGGCAGGAGAGGCACCAGAGGTGAGGTCAAAGAGGGAGAGACGTCAAAGTCAATGGCCCGACCCTCTGCGTCAAAAGCGAGGACACTAGGGGTAGCCATGACAGCAGTAGACTAGCAGCGCAAACAGTAGGGTGAGGGCAGTTCTGAGAAAGAGGCGCTGCTCTTACCAGACAGGGCGGCTCGGGCGGTTCGGCTGCAGGGCGACTCGGCGGCTCGGCAGCTGGGCGGCTCGGCGGCTCGGCTGCTGGGCGGCTCGGCGGCTCGACTGCTGGGCGGCTCGGCGGCTCGGCTGCTCGGCTGCTGGGCGGCTCGGCGGCTGGGCGGCTCGGCTGTGGGCGGCTCGGCTGCTGGGCGGCTCGGCGGCTGGGCGGCTCGGCTGCTGGGCGGCTCGGCTGTTGGGCGGCTCGGCTGCTGGGCGGCTCGGTGGGGCCGCTGAGAGGAGGCGGCGGGGCCGCTGAGGTAGGTGGCGGGGCCGCAGATAGGTGGCAGGGCCGCTGGTAGGTGGCGGGGCAGCAGGTAGGTGGCGGGGCCGCAAATAGGTGGCGCGGTCGCAGATGGGTGGCGGGGCCGCTGGTAGGTGGCGGGGCCGCTGGTAGGTGGGGGGGCCGCTGGTAGGTGGCGGGGCCAGCAGGTAGGTGCCGGGGCCGCACAGGTAGGTGGCGGAGCCGCAGTTAGGTGGCGGGGCCGCTGGTTGGTGGCGGGGCCGCAGGTAGGTGGCGGGGCCAGCAGGTAGGCGCCGGGGCTGCACAGGTAGGTGGCGGGGCCGCGGTTAGGTGGCGGGGCCAGCAGGTAGGCGCCGGGGCCGCACAGGTAGGCGTCGAAGCCGCAGGTAGGCGCCGGGGCCGGTAAAGGGCGGCGTCAGGGCCGCAGGGCGGCGCGAGGGCCGCGGGGTAGGCGACGACGCCGCAGGGCGGCGGATCGGGGCCGGGAAAGGGCAGCGCGATGGCCGCGGGGTAGGCAACGAGGCCGCAGGGCGACGGGTCGGGGCCAGGAAGGGCGGCGCGAGGGCCGCAAGGCAGGTGACGGGGCCGCTAGGGCGGCGCGACGGGGTCGAGAAAAGGGGGAGCGTGACTTGGGCTAAGGCTGAGCGCGCTCCGGGCAGGAAAAAATAATTCGACTTGGTGGGCCCTAGGAACAGTTCCCACGAGGGAACTTGCTCGATACCATGTGAAAATTGAAACGAGAATGAATGAACTATGAAACAGTTGGGTACAAGTACTAACCCTAATAAGGTTGTACCCCATATGGGCTACCCCACTACAGCCTACACAAAAGCATAAGCTATAATGTTCTGACAGGAATACTTGTCTCAACCTTGCTCTCGGCAGGCTTTCTAACCATGCGCAGCAAAGTACCCCCAGGCTCGTCCTCTCCTCGTCCTCACGTGCAGGTGGATAACTACGGGCGAATTAACTCGCCCAGCGATGACATCCGTGTAGCCTTGGCGAAGAACGCGAGCAAGGTGGGAAGTCCTACCGTGGCCTCCGGTGCGAGCTGTGACGGGGACGACGGAGAAGAAGCGAACGGCGACGACGCCGAGGAGGATTGACCGGAGAACGGCCAGGACGACAGCGCTTCGGGCGACGAATTAGGTCCTGCCGACATCGAGGAGGACGAATGGTGGAATCGGCCGGTCGGGAGCGACGACGAGGTGGAAGAGTGGCGGGCTGGAGATTGGGACAACGACGGAGGTGAAAATGCGAATGGTGACAACGCGGAGGCAGCGACGGATGCACAGGAAGCGGCAATGGATGCGAATGAGGAGGCTGAAGACGGCGCGGTCGCAGTTGCGGATGCGGATGCTGTGGCAGAGTTGGACACGGTTGCTGCGGATGCCGTCTTATTTGACGGTGAAAGCGGCAACGACGACCCATGGAGCCTTGGGACAGACGACGACGTTCCGCTACTGAAGCGGAGGCTGCGCCATCGCCTACAGTCCAAGTCAAAGCGGGCCCGCGTGGTGCTCTCTGACGACGACAGTCCGGGGGAGGAGCGTCGCCTGAAACTCACCGCTGCGGAGAAGGGAAAAGCCAAGGTCGCGGAAGCCCCTGCTAAGGCCCCTGCTCGTCACCGCACAAGCAACAAGAAGCGGACATCCGACGGAGACCCGGGATCTAGCAAGGTGCGGCTAAGAAGAAGGCAAAGAAGGCGCCGAATCCTGACGACATCGTCGTGAACGAGACTCTGGGCAGCGACGATGAGTACGCGGCGGCGGCGGGCCCGATTCCCATGTTCCCTCAGAAGGTCACGCCGAAGGACCCCACCCTCCATAATCCCAACACCCGCCCACCTTCCCCTCGCAGCAAGGACACTACGAGGAAGCGCCGCAGTTGGACCGTGCGTGAGAAGCTTAAGTGGGCGCGCCGCTATCCGGAGCTCGGCTCCTTGAAGAAGACGAGCGAGGAGTCAACCGCGTCCATCGCTTGCATCAGACGCTGGAGTGCGAAGGCGGCTGCAGGCGTTTACAAGGGCGCGGCTAACTGCCGCAAGCGGATGCACCGGGGGGGGGGGGGCGCCACTCACACTACCCCGACATGGAGGCAGCGTTGTACCGCTACATCTGCCTTCAGCGCGCTAACGGGTTGGCCATCTCGGTGAAGGACACCCAGATCTGGAGCCGCGAGTGGATGAAGAAGCATCACGCCGGCAAGAACTGGAATGCAAGCTCTCACTGGAGCCAGCGTTTCCATGACCGCTGGAACCTGTTGATGCGGCTGAAGACCAAGGTCGGCCAACGACTGTCAGCAGGTGCGTGTTGAAGGAATTCGTGTCGCGCGCGGGCTATTGAATGCATGTCCCTCACCCAGTGTCTAACCATCCCGTGTTTCCGTTGCGCGTGTACCGTTTGCAGAGTGCACGAAGGACTGCGAGTCCTTCTGGAAGTTCGTGCGCATCAACAGGGCGCGGCACAACATCGACCTGGCCCGCATCATCAACGCGGACGAGACTCCACTATTCGTGGAGATGCCAGCCGAACGGACGATCGAGCACCGCGGCGCGCGCTCGGTCCTAATCCGCACTGCAGACTACCAGAAAACACGCTTGACGGTGATGCTCGCGTGCACTGCATCCGGGAAGAAGCTGCGGCCGTGGGTGTGGTTCAAGATGAAGAACGTCCCCAACTGTGAGATTCCGGAAGGTAAGCGTAATGAATTCAACCGTGCGAGTGCCTGATGAGCGTGCCCCACTGTGCTGAAGCCCGTCTGTCCCTTGTGTGCCTGGCAGGAATCGTGGTCCAAGCACAGGACAAGGGTGGATGGACGAGAGCGCTGTGCAGACCTGGCTGTCCAAGGAGGTGCTGCCCCATCTGAACCCCCAGCGCGGCTAGAACGCGAGGCGTGCAAGGCTGGTGTTGGACTCCTACCGCGGTCACATCACCCAGACCATGCTTCAGTCATACCGCACGCACAGTATCACCCCTGCAGTCATCCCAGCGGGTTGTACGAGCCAGATTCAACCCCTGGACGTCTCAATCAACCGGTGCTTCAAGGCTGTTGTGCGAGCGCGCTACGCCAGGTGGTTCATGCGTGAGGGGATTCACCTGAAGACAAAGAAGGGTGAGTTGGTCCTTCATTTATGGTATTATTCCTATTCTGTTTCCTGTCCTTGTCTTAAACATGCTCCTTCATGTCCGTGTCTCTAACATCTCGCTGCCCCGTCCTCAAACCCACCCGCAGGGAACCTGCGGAGGCCGCCCCACCCCGTGGTGCTGCAGTGGATCGCGGAGGCTTGGGATCAAGTCCCCAAGCAGATCATCATCCACGCATTCCGCCAGTGTGGGATCTCAAGCAAGCTAGACGGAACGGAGAACCACCTGGTGATGTCTCACCTGCGCGCCAGGAGCACCACTGATGTCTCAGCGGACATGTCCCTCGTGGGGACCACAGGCGACAACACGCGCCTGCTTGGTCGGGCTCCAAAGGAGGAGGAGGAGGAGGAGGAGGAGGAGGAGGAGGAGGAGGAGGAGGAGGAGGAGGAGGAGGAGGAGGAGGAGGAGGAGGAGGAGGAGGAGGAGGAGGAGGCGATGCAGGCGGAGGGCGTGCGGGAGGTGGCAGTGGCAACCGGCCTGGAGGTGCTGTACCAGGAGACCCCCAACTACCGTGGGGCGGCGGCCGAGGCTGACCGCATGATCGAGCCTAGGGAGACGGCTAGGCATGCCTGGTGAGTGCCAAACCTGGGTGTAGAGCCTGTTGTTAGCGCAGGCGAGGAGGCGGTGACTGAGGGGGGTTAGGTAGAAGTAGAGATTCATGAATGTATGCATGTACCCCCCTAAAGTAGAGAAGGCTCGTTTAGAAGACACCCCCTGTTTATAAGAAAACCCCTAAACACCGGTTCTGATTATAAGACATATATGTCTTAACTCGTACACATAAATAGGTGTCGTATAAAAAGGCTAGCCTGTTTATAAGAGACACCCGTATAGTAGACAACCCCTGTCTACTGTTCAACACTGTCTTGTATCCGGGCGATGACGGTACCATAATATTTTGCCAGCATGCAAGTTATATCCTCCTGACACAAAGGCAGTTTCTAGTAGTTTTCACTCCGCCCTGCTCTGGAAGACCAACATGTTGCAACAAAATGCCTCAATGGATTTTCCAACATATTCAATATACAGTACAATACCTGTAATTCGCATATCTGAAAAGAAACTGAAACGTTATTTAGTACATATTCCAAATTCACTGCACGTCCATGACCTACACAAAGGACACTTATGCACAACTGCTGCATGGCCTACGCTTATGGCTAAATATAACAGCTATCTACAAAGCTGCACCCTCAAACAACCTGATGGAGCCTACCACCATGTATCGGGATGGAAGTCCTGGTGCGACATGAGGCCATGCTTCACGTCAAGATCGCCCGGAACTGGTTCTGGCCCAAGCGTCTGTGAGAATAAGCGAACAGGAATGAATGAACTAGAAGTGAAATGAGTACAAGAAGTAAACCCTAGAATTGTGTACCCCCTATAGGCTAACCCACTGTAGCCTACACAAGCATAACATGTATAATGTTTGACACACCCCCATAGGCAAAGTGGGGGAGAACAAGGGGTCACAAGACCAGTCAAGCAAAGCAAAGCAAGCTCAGGGTGGATCACAAAGTCACCACACAGTCCGAGCACAAGAGCAGGGCCAGAGGCCAGTTCACATGCAGGAGTACAGACATATATATAAAACTAGACAAGCAAGAGCAGGTATATATATATGTCACAGTACAAGTAAAGTCAAGAGGAGAGCAAGTGAGGCAAGACAGGCACAAGACCCAGCTGGGTGCAAAAGCGCTGATGATCACAAGGCGCGAGTGCCTTGGTGAACACATCAGCAGTGTTGGCCTCAGAGGCCACGTACGCAAGTCGCAACTGACCACGCTGCTGCAGCTCACGAGCAAGGAAGTAGCGGAGAGCAATGTGCTTCGTTCTGTGCTCCAAGCGCTGCTCTCGACACAAGACCAGCATGGCCTTGTTGTCTACGTACAGCACTGGAGGAGAACGAGGCGGCTCTCCAAGGTCAGTCAGCAGGTAGGTGAGCCAGCGAAGCTCCTGTGCAGCCATGGCCCCGGCGTAGATCTCAGCCTCACAACTGGAGCCGAGAACTGAAGACGAGCGAGTAGACCGCCACGAGACAGAGCCGGAACCAAGGCTGAAGGTGTAACCCTGTGACGACCGCTGCGTAGCCTGGTCGTCAGCCCAAGAAGCGTCCGCGTGGCCTGTAAGGACCACTGGACTCCGCCCTCCAAGTACTAGCCCCATGCCCGACGTACTACACAGGTAGCGCAATACCCTCTTCGCTGCAGCCATGTGCTCTGGTCGGTGTCTCCCAGGAGCAACATAGCGTGCAAGGATGCTCAGAGGGTATGCAAGGTCAGGTCGAGTGCAGGTCATCAGGTACATGAGGCAGCCAACAAGCTCTGCATATGGACCACTCGACTCTACGGACTCATCCGAAGGCAGAGCTGAGAGTGAGTGGCGAGTAGGCAGAGGAGTGGCCTGAGGCGAGGAGTACGTGAAGCCGAAGCGCTGAAGGACCTGCTGCACCATGTGTGACTGAGTCAAGGAAATGGTGAGGCGTGCTCTGTCCCGAATGATCTGCAAGCCAAGGTAGCTGCGCAGTTCACCCAGGTCTGTGCACGTGTGTCTCTTCTGCAACTCGGACTTCACGTAGGCGAGTCCAGCAGTGTCAGCAGTGGCAATGACCAAGTCGTCGACGTACACGAGGATGTAGAACGGCGGCAGAGAAGTGTCGGTGCGCAGAAACAACGACGGGTCAGCAGTAGAGGGAGCAAACCCAAGAGCCGCAAGCGTAGTCCTCAGTGTGTCGTGCCACTCACACGGTGCTTGGCGGAGACAGTAGACTGGCCGTCGGAGGCTCCACTGGGTGCAAGGAGGGAAAGTCCCAGTGAAGCCAGGCGGACGATGCAGCCAGATCTCCTCGTGCAGGCTGCCCTGCAAGAAAGCAGTGCTGAAGTCAAGAGAGTGAAGCTCGTAGTCACGCTGTGCGGCTATGTGCAGCAGCACCCGAAGAGTAGTCATCTTCGGGGTGGGAGAGAAGGTCTGAAAGTAGTCAACTCCCTGCCGCTGACTGAAGCCACGAGCAACGTACCGCGCCTTGAAGACAAGTGGAGAGCCCGGCGGCCGCTTCACCCTGAAGATCCACATGCCACTAACGATGTTCGCCCCAGGAGGGGGAACCGCGTCAACGTAGGTGCCTGTGGACTTCCAGGAAGCCATCTCTGCATCCATAGCTGCCTGCCACTGAGAGGAGTAGGGACCCTCTACGGCCTCCGCGTAAGAACGCGGAGTCGGGATGTCTAGTGCATCCGGGTCTCCCTCAGGGGCAAGCAGTACAGACGCGAGATGAGGTGAAGCAGCCGCTAGACACTGTAACTCCTCCTGCCTGTCCTCTAGGACGTCCGTGCCAAGAGCACACTCACCCGCGACGGACGGAGGACAGACAGACGCAGACTCAGCAACAAGACTAGCAGCGTAGTCGAGACGACAGCGAGCAGCAAAGTCAACGAGCTCAGCGACTAGAGCAGACGCAGCAGTGGACTCAAAAGAGGGGTCAGTGACGACAGTAGCAAGCAGACGCGTGACAGTAGGACTGGCAGCACGAAGAGAGTCTGACTCAGGGTCGGCAAGCGCAGGAAGAGAGGACTCAGGAGGAGAAGGCAAAGGGGCACGCAGAGGAGCAGTGGACGGACGCAGAGACATCCAGTGCGTGCCAGGGACAGGAGGAGGACGCTGACGCGAACCGCGACCACTAGCACGAACAGCACGAACCGGCGACGCGGGACAAGACGCAGGCTCACGACGCTCAGCAAGACCTCCAGTAGGACCAGTGTAAGGAGAGGGAGCAGGCAGAGGAGAGGAAGGCTCCAACAGTGATTGCGACTGGACAGGCTGTGGACACTCTACCGAAGGAGAAAGACCAAGAACCTGCTGTAGGAGCGGAACGAAGTACGGCCGAGGCCGCGCGGCAGCTCCAGACTCAGCAGGGACAGCACCAGCACCCTCAGCGACAGCACTAGCGCCACCAACACCTCCAGCGGCAGGACCTCCAGCAGCACCAGCAGCAGAACCACCGCCAGGACAGACAGCAGTAATCTTAGCACCAACACCCTCAGCAGCTCCAGCTCCAGTAGGACCCGCAGGCCCAGCAGCTCCGGGACCGGCAGCACCAGCACCCTCGACGGTCTACGAAGCTCGCGCTCCAGCAGTACGCCTCCAGCGGCGAGCAAACCACTCGCGCAGCTCCTGTGGAGAGAGGGGCTCCCGGCGAGACGCAGCAGCAGGAGAAACCCCAGGCTCAGCAGGTCCAGACTCAGCACCCCCAGGCACAGCAGCTCCAGACGTAGCACCCCCAGGCTCAGCAGCTCCAGACTCAGCACCTCCAGGCTCAGCAGCTCCAGACTCAGCACACCCAGACTCAGTAGCTCCAGCTCCAGTAGGACCCGCAGGCCCAGCAGCTCCGGGACCGGCAGCACCCTCAGCAGGCGAAGAAGCTCCAGCTCCAGCAGCACGCCTCCAGCGGCGAGCAAACCACTCGCGCAGCTCCTGTGGAGAGAGCGGCTCCCGCCGAGACGGAAGAACCGGAGAGCCCCCAGGTCCAGCAGGCGCAGGCTCCGCACCTCCAGGCCCAGCACCCCCAGGCTCAGCAGCTCCTGACGTAGCACCCTCCGGCTCAGCACCCCCCGGCTCAGCACCCCCAGACACAGCACCCCCCGGCCTCGCACCCCCAGGCTCAGCACCCCCAGGCTCAGCACCCCCAGCAGCAGCACCCCCAGGCTCAGCACCCGCAGCAGGACCAGACTCAGCAGTAACCTCGACTGGCTCGACCGTGCCTACCTGGGACACACCTGAAGGGGCAGGAACCTGAGGGGGGAGGGGGTCTACCGGGGGGGGAACTGGTACCAGGAAGTCCGGTGGGGGGGGGAGGGAAGGAGTACGGTAGGGGAAGAGGCGGTAGAAGGGGACTGACTCGTCGAACGTGACGTCCTGGGAGGACAGAACACGACGAGAGGAGGGGTGGTAGAACTGCCACCCTGGAGCGTCAGGGGGGAAGCCAAGGAAGACACAGGGAGCAGCACGGGGGGACAGCTTGTCCGCAGACAAGTCGCGGACAAACGCCCGAGATCCCCAGACACGGAACGCAGACGCATCGCCGACCTTCCCCGTCCACAGTAACACTGGGGACATCGCGGGCCGAGAGACCCTGGGGTGAAGGTTGAGCTGATGCGCCGCGTACCGAACCGCAAACGGCCACAGAAAATGGGGGGCAGCCGCATGCATCATGGACGTACGAGTGACATCCATGACCATGCCAATGCGGCGCTCAGCAATCCCATTTTGCTGTGGAGAGTCCGGAAGCGTAAAGGTCTGGCGGATCCCGTGTGCACGACAGTAGTCTCGCAGAAGGCGAGAGGAGAACTCCCCACCTCGGTCAGAGTGCAGACGCAGAATAGGAAAGTCCGAGCCGAAGCTCCTCCTGAGCTGGAGACGAGCCTCGCGGATCCAGTCGATCAGCACCTCAGTGACAGCACCCTTGCTGCGCAAGGGGAAGACTGAGGTGTAACGCGAGTAGTCGTCAACCACCAACAGGAAGTAGCGCTCGTGACCCTGCCCACGGACGGGGGCCGGGCCCCACACGTCCATGTGAAGCG